TCAGCAAGTGGGGGCCTTAGAATACTTGCTGTCTGCAAATATAAGGACTCCAATCTTGTATCAAAATGTCATTAAATCGGCTGTAAAACTAACTACTTGGAAACCCTGTTTTATTATTCTGGGTTGTTTGGAACAGAAAGAGCCTGGCACTGCCCCACAGAGACCCCGTGGTGCTGCTGGCAGTGCCTCCAGTTTGTGAGTGCTGGAAGCACCGCAGCTACTGCCCAAGGGCAGGAGGTGATTTGAGGGCTTGTCCCAGGTGAGTCCATTGCAGTGCTCAAGGCCAGGTTGGACAGAGCCTTGGGTGATATGGTTTAGTGTGAGGTGGAGGGAGCCCATGGCAGGGGGTTGGGACTGGATGATCTTCAGGTCCTTTCCAACCCAAACCATTCTGTGATTCTGTGAAATGCCTCTGGGTTGCTCCAGTGACCCCAGGCCAACGCTGTGCACAGGGGATGCTTCAGTGCAGAGCAATGAGAGCAGAACTGGATGTGCAGAGCCGCGCTGCCGCCGGTACCATCGCTGGCTTTCCCCAAAGGGAGCCTGAAGTCTTCAGATCATGATCTGCTGAGAGAGGGGCAGCCCGGGGCAAGGCAGCTCCCGCAGCCTTCATGAGGCGTTTCAGACTCTGTCTTGCTGGATTTTGGCAAGGGAGACCTGGATTTAACAAGGGGGTTTAAAAGTGGGAAATGTGAAGCAGCTGCTTCAGTTGTAAGCAAGCCAGGAATGGGGAGGAGGGCAAGGCCTGCGGGGGTTTCGCTTACAGACCTTGGCAAATGGGAAGCTTTCCTCTTTCTTTTTCATTTTAATGGGCATCAGGAAGGTCTCTGGGACCTTGGGATCCTGAACACCAGTCAGGAGAGCTGGGTCTGCACAGTGAAACCTCCACAGCGTTGTGAATTCAGGGAAGGGCACAGGGAAGTGCAGGGCTTTGAGAGGGATGTAGGAGGGGTTGATGAAGATGGAGAAGGTGGGAATTTGATGTGTCCTTGCCCAGACTTGTAAAGGCTTATAAACACCCAAAGCAGCCCAGCCTGCTGGAGTGGGGCTCTGTGTCACAAGCACGGCTGGGTGAGTGCCCCAGAGCATCTCCCAGGGCAGCCTATGGGGCTGGACCTCACAAGGACAACTCACCTGATTGTGCTTGGGGTGGGATGAATCCTACCTGTTCAGGCTGGTTGTCTCAGCTAAGTGCAGCGACAGCCAAGGTAACCCATGCGGATCTGTCACACATGCACACAGCGCAGCAGGAATGCCCCTCCTGCCATCTCTGTGAGAGACCTGCAGTGGACAGAGAGCCTCAGAGAGGGGCTCGGCCAGCTCAGGCCCTCTGTTCTGGCTACTGGCATCAAATGCTTTGGAGTAAGAGGTAAGAAGCTGGCTACAGTGGGTTTTATCCTTTGCATTAGATGGGTATTCAAATAATTTAACAGTGGATGCTCTCATCTTTCATATTCCGAAGGAGTTGTTTTTGTGGCTCTGATGCTCTCATGACCTCAATAATGTCTCTGTGAGTGCATTTCTCAGGTTAATTATGCATTAAGTTTACATAAGGCTTTTCCCTTTTTAATCAGTTCTAAACCTGCTGCCTTCAGATGCGCTGGCACTCGGGTGCTATATCGGGGGGTCACAGGAGTGCTGCACCCACCTTTCCACCCACCAGTTCTGCTGTACACCCTGACATGTCTCCTCTATTTGTCACCATGCTAAATAAGCACCCTTGAGACCCCTGAAGTCTAAGACCTTGAAAGTAAGGGTTATGATAAGACTGCACAGAAGCAAGTTGGGTGTCATTGTTCTTTCAAGGCAAGCATTTCTGTTTGCAAAGTAACTTGGCAGTCTTGTGTATTTTGGATTTAAGCATCCTGGTGTATAAGCCAAAGCTAACAGATATTAATTAGTCGGAGGACTGGAACTGTAATAGGGCAGTCACTCACGTAGGTCGGCATTATTCTTTTAAATGCAAGTAATTAAAAGAAAAAGTTGTGTTGAAAAAGTCAGCGATAAGAGATGCTGTATGAATAACACACCATGGGGAGGGAGAGATAGGAAGTCAAGGGAAAGAATAGCAGCCAGGTTGCTGGTGCAGCAGCTGCTGCAGTGCCTGCTATGGAGGAATCATCCTGGTAGCAGGGAAAAGGGAGTACAAGAGAAATGGGGTCTCACAAATCATGACAGGGGGACAGGAGTTGGAAGAGCTTTGCCAGTGTGTGTGGGAATGCCCAGGGGAGTCGCGCCTCTGGAGGATCCCAAAAGGGAGGAGGTCACGAGGATGATCGGGGGCTGGAGCAGCTCCTGTATGGAGACAGGGTGAGAAAGTTGGGGCTGTTCAGCCTGGAGAAGAGAAGGCTGCGTGGAGACCTCAGAGCAGCTTCCAGTATCTGAAGGGGGCCTATAGGGATGCTGCGGATGGACTCTTCATTAGGGACTGTAGTGATAGGACAAGGGGTAACGGGTTAAAAGTTAAACAGGGGAAGTTTAGATTGGATATAAGGAGGAATGGGTTGCCCAGGGAGGTTGTGAATGCTCCATCCCTGGCAGTGCTCAAGGCCAGGTTGGACAGAGCCTTGGGTGAGATGGTTTAGTGTGAGGTGTCCCTGCCCAGGTCCTTTCCAACCTTAACTATTCTATGATTCTAAAGCTGGTCCAAGAGGCAGTGATGTAGGTCTTGAGGCCTGCAGTGTGTACCCTGGATTGGAAAAATAGCTCAGAGTCCTGAGAGTGCAGTTTAAAGGAATTCCTATAAAACACCTGCCAACCCATGATCCCACTGAGGATCATTTCAGGCTGAATTTTGGATGGAGGAGAAGCTCCAGGTGAAGCCTGTTTGGTGGTTACATTAAACACTGGCACAACCTGGGAGCCAGGGATGCTTGGACACCAAGGGCCAAAACCAGGGATGAATCTATGGAGTGGCTTGAAGGGCAGCCGTATCTCTGGGTCATGGTCCCAGGAGTGTGTGTGTGATGGGTGGAGGTAAAAACCAGCTTCTGGGCTTGAGATACCTGTCAAGGGTGCCCCAGAGATGCCCAGAATATCTCTGGAGCAGGGAGTGACAGAGCCTGTCCTGTCAGCCCAGAGGAGGCCCAGTGGCTCTGCAGCTGACTTTCTGTGACCCTGCTGTTGGTGAAACAGAGCCCCAGTTACATCACCAGGAGGGCTGTGTCCAGAGGCAGAAAAGAGACTGGAAATCACAGCCAGCCCACAGGAGCACGGAGCCCTGCAGTGGGGAAGAGCTGCTGTGCTGAGCACTTCCCATTGCACAGGGACTCTGCACCCCACAGCAACCCAGCTCCATGTGCTCCTGCCCAAACTGGGCTTGGTAAGCAGGCTCCCCATGGAGGTCAGAGCCTGTCCCACTGGGGCTGCTGCATCCCCCCCAGAAATTCATCTTGAAGCAAGCTGAGCTGCTCCAGGGGTGTGCATGATGGGGAGTAGCTTACATGTGATGAGATAGCACTGGGCACCATGGGAATTGATGGGGTTTTAACCATTTATTTCCCTTCTCCATAACCCAGCTGTCTGTAATGATGGCCAAGTCCTGCCTCATCTCCCGGTGGTACACGATGGAGACGGTGGGTGAGGAAAGCAAGCCAAAGCTAAACGATGCACTTTACCGTCTCATTCACGGTAAGAATCTTAATACATTACCAGCCATCAGTGTACACCACCTCACACACAACCGAAGAGCAGCATCCCTGGCACCAGCTGCTTCGGGCGTCCCCGTTAACCTCTCCAGAGCAAACCCTTCCCAAACAGCCATTTCGGAGTGTGCGAAATCGATTTCCTATTCGGCCTCCGCAGTGGGAGAAGATGGCGGCGCGGAGCCGCGGGCGCCTCTCCTGCTTCTCGGCGTGTTTTGGAGACATCCTCTTCCCCCCCGGTGCCTCGCTGATGGAGGGTGGGTGGCTCTGGTGCTGGGGGTGCTGGTCTTGGTGCGCGGGTCCCTCCTGGTGCCTTTTGGTGAGCAAAACCAACGATAAACACGTTTACAGCAGCCCCTCCTTGGGTGATTTCCACAGCGCAAAGACCCCCTGCCTCCCACCCCCTTCCTGTGCATCTTCTCTTAATTAATTAATACTGCATTCATCACTGCTTAATTCCCGTTTCCGTAGCACCCGAGGAGGGGGGGGCTGTGGGCAAAGGCGGGTGCTGAGGCAGTCGAGCTCCGCTGGCTTAGTGGAGGAGCTTAATTAGCCCCCGTGACAATATGGGAGCGATTCCCGCAGCTCTGTAATGGGTGGTTTCAAAGGGGTGCCCAGTGAGCGCAGCCCCAGGTCCCTGTGCTGCGGGTCGGGGTGTGCTTGTGGGGAAAGGTGATCCTCTAAAAAGCAAACAAAACCCCCCCAAACTGGTCTCATTTGGAGCTTTGTGAAGGACGGGAGGCAAAGAGGTGTGGTTGGTGCTGGGGACAGGCAGGCTGGACACTGGGGATAGACCACGTTGGGCTGTGAAGGGCTCGGTACACACCTTTCTGTCTGTGGTTGTCACCATCAGCATTGCAGGGCTCCTTCTCTTTTGGTGTTTTTACCTTAAACACAACCTGTTGGCACAGCAAACATCATTAACCGCAGTGGTGCTGTTAGGAGAAGAGCATAACTTCTTGAGGACTGTCTGGAAAGAAAGCCAATGTGCTTGTCGTCCCGGTTTTGTGGCACACGTTGGAGTTTAGATCGGTGCCTTTATTTGTTTTCTTAAGGTTTTTATCTCCCCATCTTTCAACTCTTCTCCCCTCTAAAAAAACCCCAAGGAGAAGCAAACCCTATGTGCCCCACAGCTTGTTCCTCAGTAGGGTGGTGACCCACATGTATGCGTGCTCCTACCCAAGCAGATCCCACCTGCCTGTGCACCATGTCTAAGATAAGATGGAGGTACCCAGCACGCAGGGGTGTTTGTGTGTGTGTGTGTGTGAGGAGGGAAGGGAAGATGGAGGGGAAACAAAAGCAGCAGATCCGCTGCGGTGCTGGGCCGGGCTCCTTGCCAAGAGCGGCTGCGGCACACAGCGGTTGGGGTGGCGGTTCCCCCCATTGACATGGCTGGCGATGCTCCCGCCTGCCCTCTCCTCCCCGGCGCGAGCTGGGGCGTGAAGGTGGCTCTGGGTTGGGATGCGGGATGCTGCCTCACCCTTCCCACCGCTAGACGGGACCACGGCACCGGCGCTCCGGCAGCCCGATGCGCGCCTGTCCCGCGTGACTCGCATACGCAATGCAGCCATGCTTAACGAGCGTGAGTAATTATGCCAGGGTGCGGGGGGCGGTCGGGATCGTGTGTGCGCATGAGGGTTGGTTTGGCTCGATGTTGTGGGTTTTTTCCTTGATAATTCCCATCATTCCCACCCCTTTTCCTCCCCCCTGCCCAGTCCGTGGCGTTGAAACTTGGCCACCTCCTTGGCGGTGCCTTCGGGAGGGCCGGGGATGCGGGGGTCAGTTGGCACAGCAACTGCTGTTCGGGGACAAAAGGAGGCTTTTTTTGCAGCGACAGTAGCAGCTGCCAGCCAGAATAGCAAATCCTTGCGACTTGGCACCACTCCAGCTTCCTTGAGGGTTGCAGAGGGATGGTATGTTGGAGGGTAAGACTAGCTAATTAATCTTCTGGCAGGGAACAATGTAATATCAGACAATTACAAAGACAGAATGAAATTACTATAGTGGGAAGGCTGGCATATGAATTTCTCAAAGGGTCCATCCCTCAACCCGCCGCTGTTACTTAATATGCAGGAAAAGCACCGACTGTACATGTGCTTTTCTGTTGTGTGTGAGGGGGGGTTGTATGAATTGAATTATGTGCTCGGAGGAGGGGTGGCGGGACGTGGGCTCCGTTGCAGGATGAGCTTTTTGAGGAGCAAAAGGGAGAAAGAAGAGTTGTTCCAAGCAGAGATGTTCCCTGTCAACTACCATACCGAGAGGGCAGATGTGGCGGTCGCTGATGCTACAAGCTCACAGGGTCGGGGGTATTTTTCCTGCTTATTTTCAATGATTACACCGTGATGCCTGATAGCTACAGATTTTTGGAGGAGGATCTGACTCTGGGCAGAGGGGGAGTGAGTTCCTTCCGTCTTTTTGCATGGAGAAGCCCTCAAAGAGCTTTAGAGCTGCTGAAAGTTACTGGGGAAACACACCTACCAGCTCAGTGGTGGTAATTGCCAATAATTAGCTGTAATCACTGCTACCTGCAGTTGGGACACTGTGATGAATAAGGCAGTGCAAGCCACATGGTGCAGGCTCCCTCTCAGTGTATTTGCTGTGGGGAAAGAATTAGGAAGGTCTCATTTATCCTGGAGCACAGGAAAGCATCAGTGGGAGATCAGCCTGTGTGGAATTAGTATAGGCAACCCCTCCTTCCTCCTCCTCCTCCTCACCAGGCATTAGGGATAAGCTAATGACTCTCCTCCCTCTGCATCTCCCTCCCAGGATGGAACTAAATGCAGTGGGATCTCTAGAAGTGTCATTAAAAAACCAATGTGAAAACAGCATCAGTCAAATTCTGTTTTCAATGCTGGATGTGTGCGTACGCACACCAGATCCCTGGGGACACGGCCAGGAGCTGCCTCGAGCCAGCAGAGGATCTGGAACAACTCCAGCTTGGTTGTTCTTTCTCCTAAGGAATTAGAGTACAGTTCTGTTTGGTGTCTGTAGAGGTGAAATGATGCAGAGATGATGTTTAAAAGCCACTGTTCAGGCTGCTGTGCTGGGCTGCTGGTTATCACTGAAGCTGGTGGAAACTTAGGCTGAGTAAGTGTGGTTTATAAGGGGGTAACAATGTCAAGTGCTGGGTTGGCAAACTGGGCAGGTCAGGAGGAGCTGCACACAGCCTTGTCCTTGACCTGTGTCCTGAAAGGCATCCTGGTGGATGCCAACCCACCCATGGGGATTTGTCTGACTATTTCTCAGGGCTGGCTAAATATCAGAAACTCTTTCCATTGGGTTTCATTAGGGACGCAGGTCCCATCAGCATTCCTTTGGTGTGGTGCATATAGATGCGTGGAGCTGCCTGTGTGCTCACTGTGCACAGCCCTGTGCTGGCTCTGAAACTGGAGAAACCAAGTTCCCTGCATAGCCAGGGAATCCCAAAAGCCAAGTCTCTGCTCCCACCATCTGCTGTACCCACCCTCTGTTTGCTCTGAGGGTCCCCGCGTGCTTGAGTGCACAGTGGCTGCTCTTTCTCTGGGTGCAGAAAAGAACGGATGGTGCCCCTTCGGTTGCTGTCCTCATCTGCAGGCAACCAGACCTCCAGGGCCTGAGGTTCTGAGGAAAACTCTTTTTAAGATCAGCCCAACTTATAGGCTGAAGGTCTTGGAGGTTTCCCATCCAGACAGTGATGGCTCTAGTTACGGATGCTGATGGGAGTGAAGAAACTGAATTTATCCCGATCATTTAATAAACAGCAATTCATTTGGACTCAAGCTTGAATGTTAAAAATCACGCAGTTGAGTCCCTGTTCTGGACTGTGTCTAAAGTCCTGCTGAGGATGGACTCTCCCTGTCCAGCAATCCTGTTCAGACCTCGCCTTGGGTTTGGCTCTGTGTGCATTATCTTTTCCACTTCCACACAGGAGCCGTACTGCTGGGCTATTGACACCAGAGATGTTTGTTTCTATAAACGGAGCGCATCTTCTTGACTATAGGTTCAGGTTTTCCTCTATTATGGAGTTTTCTTTACACTGGAAAAAATCTGTAGCCCTGGAATTTTACCTTTTAAATTACACAATAAAAAACCACAAAGCCCCAGCCTTTCACAGTCAGTTGAGTCAATGAAAGTCACCCACTGGGTCCTGCTCACGTTCACATTGTGGGGCTGAATTTGCCCATGGAGGTGGCTATATCCAAATGTGTGTGTGCTAAAGCGCTAATAGCAATCTGGGCACTCTTTAACCTGAAAGAGGTGATCATTGGTGCTGCTGAAATTCCCTCTTTGCAACAGGCTGTGTCTCCCCTCAAGCCCTGTTGAGTGTTCCAAGTCAACCCCTGGAGTTAGGAAGTTTAATTTGCAATAAATCTGCATTAGAGTACAAGTAAATCTGGTTCAGTGGCTATAAAAATTAATTCCTTATCCTAAACATTATTATATAGCTTTCAAAATGAATTGACTGTGGTTGGTAGCCTACTATGTGCTGTTATTGGTAATTAGTGTAACAAAATAGCATTGCTGTAATATTTCCTGTCTACCCCTCCCCCAGTTGGGAGCTATTTCCTATTAGAGAATCAGAATTGCAAATGCCTGTGTGCAAGCCGCTCTCGTTGGTTTCTGGATGTATTCTGCGTGTGTTGGAAGTCAATCTGTTCCTCTCTCTGTGTTGGCCTGTGGTTTTCTAGGAGCATTTGCTTCTGAAAAAGCTTTGGTGTGGCACAGGGCACCATTAGAGCCTGATGCTGGAGGGTGCTGGTGGCTGCCTGGTGGTGCCCAATGTACTTGGATCTCCTCTGAGCTGTTCAGGTTGCTTACCATCTCCCAGGCCCTTGTGCCGGGGCTTGCAGGCAACATGCGTATCAATACCTTTGCTGTGTTCATCCAGCTCAGCTCGTCCTAGATGACATGGTGGATCTGGCTATGAAGGTGCTGGAGTTGGGCAGCTCTGAGTCTGCCAAGAGGTGGAGGGAAGCAGGGGCTCCCTTTTCTGAAGCAAACAGTGAATGAAGAACAAGGCTGGGGCAGCAATTGCTGGGCCAAAGGGGCACACAGCGGAAAGATGCACACACGGAAGGCTGAAAGAACCTGAATATCTCTCCTATGATTTTGCCACTGGATGAAACAAGTTTTCACATCTTACTCTGTTGGCTTGACTAAGCAACCTGAATTGGATTAAAAGGGGGATGGAAATAGAGGAGCAGCAACTCAAAGGTTAGGATATACATTTCTACTTCTTGTGTGATAGATGGACACTGTTGGGCAGCTTTGCTCCACAGCCCTGTTCTCATCTTGTCCAACGCCATTCTGCATCGGGCTGTTCCGCCTGGCCAATAGTTATCAAACCCTGGTGCCCACCTCAAGTGTCTTGGCATAACCTCTCAGGAACACCCATACTAAACAATGCTGACCAAAACATACAACTGGCATTTATTTGTGGAGTTCCCCATTGGATTATTTTCTCATCATCGTAAGTCTTTTTTTCCCTCTCCCAAATCTGCAGCCTTGAACATCGCCTTTTGAAATATTCCTTTGCAGCCATGAAGGTTAGAAACCTGCTTCATAGGGAATGAAAGCTCAGATTTTCTCCTGCAACTTTCTGACTCTGGGATCTGGGGCTTGTATATGAACTACCCAATTGAAAACTTAACAGCTCTGTAATAAGAACCTGGGAGCAGAGAAATTGGAAGCTGGGGGGAGCCTGATGTTTTTTCCATGCTGTCCCCATCATGGAGCTATTTCTTGAGTTTTGATGACATGACAGCTTCGGAAGTCTGGATGTATGCCCTGGACTCAGTCAGCCAAGGTATCACAGAGCTGAAAAATGCAGAAAATAAGCAGTAAAGGTGGGTGGGAGAGATCTTTGCCACCCTGGAAAACATTCAGGATTCAGGTACAGGAGTAATAATAATATCAGTACCATTCTTGGCCCAGATGAGGATGGTAAACCCTAATTCCAGCAAGTTACAAAGTGAACAGGCTGTGCCAGCTGAAACCTTTGACTAGGGTTTGGTCACTGAGCCTTGGGTTTTGTGTTTCAGCTGGAGCTGGACAAATGCTATTAGCTTAAGCTTGAGGATACAAATTCACTCCAAGCTGGGGGAGGAAAATAAAACTGTGTGTTGGAAGGTGATATAATCGTGACTTTCTCCAACTATTTTCTTTTCCTTAGGTCAGATATTGAAATGATTTAAATCAGGATTTTGCTGGGAACGAACTGATGTATTTTCATCCAATGTAAAACCCCACGCAGATACCAGCAAGGCTACTGCTGTACTTTGAATCCTCTGTCCCCATCACTCCTGTAGGACAGGAGCAGTGCTTTGGGTGCTGTTGGCACTGGCCAGGAAAATGGGGATATTTTCTCCTTTTTTAGTTTCCTTATGGGAAAGTCTGTATCTCAGGAGTTTGTCTGGAATTAAGTGTTTTTAAGCCCTTTGACCAATTCCTTCTCTCTTCTTGCTTTGGGGAAAAAGAATAGTGGGTTTTCTGTGATTCCACCCACATCTTTCTAACTGGAAGTTTATTTTGTTGCACTGATCACTCAACTCTTTCAAAGCCCCATCAAAGTAATTTCAGCTTCGTTCCTGGTGCCAGACAGGTATTTCTGTACCTTTTTATGAACTGTGTAACTCTGGAGGAGAAACATTAAGAAAAGAAGACCTGTAGTAAATCACTATGGTGAATGAGCGCTGGGCAGAAATCAGATCTCCTGTTTGCATGAAAAACTCAAATGAAACCAGTCTCAAAGTTAGGAAAAAAAAAAAATCTGAAAAAAAAAAATTGGGTCAAATTAAATATTTAATTTCAATAAAATCAAAGTTTTTCAAACATAATTTCAATAAAATCAAAGTATTTTGAAAGTATTTCTTTGGTTAATATTTTATGAGACCAGCCTAAAATTAAACATAAAGTTTTTTCTCAGTGGGGAAAAAACAGAGGTTATTTTTGTGTTTTTTTAAAGAAAAAAGTCCATATGATGAAAGTACCTTTTTTTCCCCTTAGAATAAATTTTTTCTCATACTGAGAATCTGTTTATGATGTTGTGTCGCAGCAGCCGGTTCAGAGAGATGGTGCCTCTCTGGGTACCGGATCTCGTGATGCTCCAGGGATATGGATGTGCTCTTGCTGTTGCAGGGTAGTTTGCAGAAATCAGTCTTTAGTGTTATCTTTTCTATTTCTTGCATGGACTTGCTGTAACAGATTTGGGTGGACAGGTAAAATAGTGATGTGATGGTCACTGTGACTTCTCCTAGCACCTATGTGAAGGGCCTGTGGCTCTACTTGGCTCTTTGAGGTTTTCATTTCTTGCTTTGATGGTTGAGTGCAACCTGTTTGAGGAAGAGTGACACACGTGGCAAAACCCCCTTCAAATTTGTCTAATCTTCAACTGTAGAAGTGTTTTTCTTTATTCTCTTTGTGCACACATAGAAAGAGAGACTTCTTATGAATTCCAAAACACAATATGGCAAGTTTGGGCCGTAACATTAGTATTTGTGTATGCTTTCAAGGGAAAACTCTACTGCCTGGCCTGAGTTTATATATGCATAGATTTTTTTGCTTGAATACTTAAAACCAAGGAGATTGTGCTTTATTGCCATTATTCTGTAGACTGCTTCCTAAAATCACGTTCATTTGCAGCACAATTCTTGCTCTCTTGTCTAGACTTTCCCTGTGGCAACTAAAAGGCTTAGCTTTTTCTGAGTAATAATAATGGGGCAATGTAATGAAAATGCAGGACAAACACAATGCAGATCAATTCTCTTTAATGTGGGTCATTTATGCATGTGCTTGTCTGGTGGTATTTGTCCTCTGATGTTTGGCAAATGTGCTATTTAGCTGTTTTCTTTGACCCTAAATCACTTTGTCTGCAGCAAGCTTCCACTCCTGCTAGGAGGCAAAGCAGCTACACTTAACCTTTTGTTTTCTACAGCGGATTTCTGACAACATAAATAGTTTGCTGCTCACTGTCAAGATTGTTGCACTGGCAGGAATAATCCTGTCTCTATCAGTTATGCATTCTGAGGCTTTTCTCACTGTTTTCCTCTGCTAGTTACTAAAGTAGGTGCAGATCTCGTTGACAGGAGTCTATGCAACTGCCCTCGTTGCAAAGCTGAGCCTAATGGCAACAGGCACATGTGAACAAGGATTAAAGTGAAGGTCTTGCAAAGCCATGGCTTGGGAGCACTCCAGTGTCTGCTGCAGCTGCACTGGTGCTACCAGCACTGGAAATCTCAGATTTCAATCTGCTAGATTTAACCTCTGTGCCAGTTTAGGCTGCTTTGAATGGGATGCTTCACGTGATGCTGCGTTTGCTCCCCTGTGCCAGGGAGCAAGATGTGTGTGTGTGTGTGTGCTGTGTGCTCCCCTCCGCTAACCAAGGAGGCATGAGCTGCCAAAGGAAGCTTCTCCCAGGTTTTCTTTCTCTGACACAGAGCAGGCTGCTGTTACCTGGGGCAGTTGCAGAGCAGGCAGCAGCACTGCTGGAATGAGGGCAGGAGCTGTGCAAACAATTTACTATCCTGCTGCAAGGATGCTACAACAAGGCCCATAAACAGCCACATAAAGGGAATCTGGGTGGGAGCTGGGAATACCCTGACAAACACAATTCTCCCTTAATTTAATAGAACGGTCCATTCAGCAGAGAATATATTGTAAAGCTCTCTCAGGTTGGATGGCCTCCTATTGTGTCTGGCCTTTGAAGTGCTGATTAGCTGGGCTGGGAACACGCTGATAAAAAGTTAATTTCTATTTGCTGTTGCTTTGTAATTGGATGAACACGAAAGCAATTAAATATTAAAACATACAAACAAATAACGAAGTCACTGTAATTAGCCAAAGTTTGATCACTGTCATATTTATTTAGGAGGAGATGATACGTCTCAGCAGGTGACATTTTAAATACCCTTGGCTGCTTTGGTGTTGTCTTCAGAGAATGCTGAATAATGTACGGAGGATTTAATTAAACCCCATTGTAAATCAGCTGTGATGACAGGGAAGTGACAGCCACATGTTGAAAAGAGAATTAGGCTGCAGCAAGAGAGATTAATTAACTATTTTCTACGGGGTTCAACCTAAGCATGGGCAGGGAGTTTGTCCGAGGAGGAGAACTTGGTTTCTAAGTTGTTTCACTTGAGGTTGCAGCTTGGTGTGTAGAAGGATGCTCTGCACCTGGAAATACTGCAGCCCCTTAAGGGGTGGCTGTGATTGTTCATATAAATGAGAGAGGGAAACTGAGGCACTTTGTGCTGCAGCCTGCACCAGTAGGTGCTGCTGGTGGCTCTTCCCTCCCAGCACCTTTGCAGCCTCTGGGCAGGACAGTCCCCCTGGCTTGTTGGTACAGAAAAGATCTTTCACCTCAGTAAGTCAGCCCCAGGACTCCTGAAAAGCTGCTTTGAACCTTGAAGCAGGAGGGGAAGGGAAGGTTCTGGATATTTGCTCAGCTTTGGCTGCATTAGGAAGCCCCAAAGTCTGTTAGGCAGTTATCCAAGCTCCCTGGTTGAGCCTTTTGCAGGATGTGCTTTCTTCAGGTCCATTGGTCACTGGCCAAAGCAAGTGAGCGTCAATGTGTTAGTAATGACAAGAAATAAACTCAACCAAACCGGTGGGTGTTGCCTGAATCCAATTTGGTGAGTTTTATGTTAATGGAGAAAGTAGTGTGAGAGCGAAATGACAGAGCAAAGGGATAAGGGAATGAGAGGAATAGAAATGTCAAGGGGAGGGTAAGGGTCAGGGTGTGTGGTTAATCAGCAGCATTCACATTTGAAGATTATCAAGCCTGATGGGTAATACTCTTAACTAATTTGGGCATTTCTAAAGCACTGTTGCCTTCTGTGAACATGGGCTGTAGGAAGAGGAGGTGGTTCAGCTCTTGTGCAAGGCAAGATCTGATTGCTGGCCAGGCCTGGAAAAGCATTTTATCCGGGGCAGCTACAAGGAGCTTACCAGAAATGGACTTAGCACTGGTTGCCACCTAGAAGAAGGTATAGACCACACCAGGCTTTTTCTCTTCTTGTACTGAGAGACTAATTCCAGTGTTATGAGAGATGTATTCCCTTCTGCCAGCGAGGGACAGACATAGGAGGAAGTCAAGCTGAAGAACCTTAGTAAATTAGATGGAAACCCCCCAGAACCCATGCTGGGTTTGTAGGGGTTTGTGTTGAAGAGCCTTGCAGACCTTAACTGTGAGATAGAAGTTAAAGAAAGAAATGGGCTGGGCAGTGGGGCTAAAGGGGACTCAAGAAGAGAGCCTTGCAAGGGGAACATGAGCCCCATGATGGGATTTATGGAATGCTGCTGTGCTTTGGGAATGCACAGGGTAATTTGGTCTCCTATTGAACTATCCCATGCATCTCCTCTGGCAGGGCCATCACTGATCACCAGGGACCCGGGGCGAGGATGAGCCTTGGTGTGTTGGTGTGGACAGCTCAGCGCAGAAGAGGCAGTGGTCCTTCTTGCACAGGTAAGATGCTGCCTCACCTGGGATCATAGCATGCGGATGAAGCTTTAGCTGCTGGAGGTGATGATTTGCACTTGTGACTTTGCATTTCAAAGCCTCGTTTTTCCCCTCTCTTAGCAATGAAAACTGGGAGTAATTGTACACATAGCAGGAAAAAAATTCATTTTATTCCCAGAGGTGTAAATTAATTGATTCAGCCCAGGAAAAAGACCTGGGCACTTTTACAACCAGCTCCCTGAAGGCATCTCCTCGCTGTACAGGTCTGATCAAAAATGCAAATAGGATATTAGGAGGAGTAAGGGATGGGAAAGGATGGAGAGTAATAGGGAAATACAGTGTTGTAACAGTGCAAACGAGTACTGCTTCCTTCTCTGAATACAACACAAAAACATGATTTCTGTTCCCCAAACAGTCTTGCAATTCTGCTGGGTGTGCAGGGCAGAATGAAAATAGCGATGGGGAGATGGAAAACCCTTTTGTCAGGGCAGAGTGACTGGCTGGACGTGCAGAGCACTGGGCTGACATGATGCTGAGCCCCAGAGCAGGGAATGGAAGCCCTGCCTCTACTAAAAAAGGCTGTGGTGGTGTGAAGCAGCTCACTTGGAGCTCCATGCTCATGGGCAGACACTGGCTGGGAGCTCATCCTTTCCTCAATGGCTGTGGAGTCTACAGTCTGACATCAGGGCTGTGTGGGAAGCAATCGTTGTCAAGAAGGGGTTTGTCCTTCCCCCTGTCCTCATCCCTGACTTGCTGGCTGTGGTTTGGGTCTCTTCAGCCTCTTCTCAAACTTCAGGGAGAGCTGCTGTGACAAACAAACCACCCTGGTGCATGTCCTGGCACTGCCCTCTTGGGCTGGGGTTGGTGTAGCTGCTCCTGTGGGCTGGGTTGCGCTGCCTGATGGATTTGGACATGGAGAGCACATTTTCCTCTGTATTACTTAGGCAGGCAATACGGATGAGGCTTTTTCTGTCTCCCACAGTGCTGGATTTATGGGCTCTTCTAAATCAACAGCAGCTACTGTTCATTGATGGCAAGACTCGTTCTCTCCTTCTTTGGCCTGTTTTTGCTATGATTTTCGGCCTTCTAATGTAAGCCTTCAGCTTACCGGAGGTGTGTGAGGAGGTGTTTTGTGGTGGGTTGTATTACGAGGAAGAGATGGTCTTTGGGATGATCCATAGTAAGTATGCAATCTTGGTTGCCCCAGATTGAAATGGTTATTTAGGTGATCCTTGCAATCCAGGGTGAGAGACAACCATCTCTGAGCAGGGGCTTTTGGGGGCCTGTGTCCCTTTGTATCTACTGAGGCATGCCTGCAGCAGACTCACTAGATAAGATGCAGAGAAACTTCATCTCAGATGAACCCCACTGCTGCTGGGTTCCCAGCTGCTGCAGCAGATGGGACTGGAAAAGCTGTGGGCTCATAGCTGAATGTGAAGGCTGTCAGAGCAGTGTCCTGAACACTGAAAGCTTCGATCTGCAAAGCTCTAAGAAATGAGTCCTTTTTGCATCTCAAATTGAGCTCCCAACCACTCAGTACCCTCCTGGTGTCAATTTGGCTGTGCCTCAGTTCCTCATCTCTACAGGAAGAATTCCACCTTTCCTCGCAGGGCTGCTCTAAGGCAAATTAATGTTTGCAAACCACTCGGATACTATGATAATAAATGCTGTGAAAGCCCAGGAGAAAATTAATAGCTCATTATTTAGACCAAGACTTCAATCGTGTGCCATACCCCGGACACAGGGCTCCATACTGAATGATGAGGATAAAGAAAAATATTGAATAGCTGCTCATTAAGAGAGCACCATCCATCTGGTGTATGAAAGGGAGCTTTTTCCTGCGGAAAAAAAAGTGTTCCATGATCATGTTATTACAACGTGTGTTGTAATGCATCTATACAAGGGGACTGGGCTTTGGTTATCTGTGCAAGCTGGATTCTGGCATTTTTCAAGTGCTTGACTGCAACCTGACTGCTCTTTTAACACTGGGGTTGGCTTTAATATATAGCAAAGAGATAAAAATGCCAGTAGATGGCACTCAAGAATATGGAGCATCACTGCCGGGTGTGTGAGACCAATAAACGTGTTGTTGTGTACCACAAATGGCTTCCTCTGTGCAGCTTTTTATATCAGCATGTTTTTCCTACCTTCTTCTGGCTTGGAGGTTTGGTGCACAGAGCAAAGGGGAAACAAGCGCATGAAGCAGCAGGGGTGGCGAGGTGCTCTGCGCACTCTGATCTCAATATTGTTTCTACCTTTTGGGTTTAAATTACTTACCCAGTCTCGAAATCCTGAGCTGTGCTCTCCTCAGCTGACCTTTTTTTTTATGCTTTGCTTACAGCTTGCCTGTAAAATGAGATGAGAACTTAATTTGAAAGCTGAAGTTAATTGACCTAAATAAACTAAGAGCCTTCTGCTGGCTTTATGGTCAAAAAACCCTGCATAACCCTAGCTCTCCCCCTTAAACATATCGCAGAGCAGAATGGTTTTCCTGGTGCATCTTCAAGCTGCTGCTGTTTACTGACAGTTAGTTGTGGCGTAGTATTGTCTAGAGAGAAAAGCTGTTGTGCTCAGCTCTGATGCGCAGGAATGGGAAGGCAGCACCAATCTGGAGTGGCTCGCTTTGAGTAGGAAAGATTGACCAGGGTAGTGAACCAGGAAAGGGTCTGGCTGCAGAGTACCTGGGCTATGTAGAAAACAAGTCCTAAGCTGCAGGAAAGTCTCTCCGTGTCTGCTTTGATGCCACAGAGCAGCTTGCAGCCAGATTTCCTCGTTCAATGTGTGGTGTTACGGGATTGACAAAGGCAATTTTGAGCCAGGCTGTCGTCTGGAGGATGAGCCTGGCATTTAAGGTCTGTGATAACCTTTCTGATCTGTGATACCATCTCCCTGCTGGGACTACAACCTCAGGCTGCCACCTCCTCTACTCTCCCAGCCACAGCTACCACCCAGCTCTCCCACTCTGTCTCACCAGCTTGCTGTCTGAGCTCTGCTCAGAGAACATCAGTCCTGGTATGACTACACAGCTCTACCTGGGGCAAGCAGATGCTCTTGTGCCAGTTTAGCTTGATTCAGTACTACCTGAAATAGCTGAAACCAGAACAAGGAGTACTTATGTCCATAGCTGTATCAGTGCAGGGATTTAAATGCTTTCTGGCTTCATTCATGTCATTTTTCCTATCCAAGCAAGTTGCTGGGCTAGGCTGAAGGATGCTCTTCTGGGAACTGCAGAAGAGAGGATGAAAAGATAAAGGGCACAGTGTAACCCTTCAGCTCAGCTCCTCAGAAAGCATTGGCTGTGGAGCTCTGAGCACTGGATAAAGATGGGAGACCTTGGTTTCACCTCTCAGTCTGCTGGAAACCCATTGTATGAGCTTGGTCAAACGGGAGTTAGCCATTGCCCTTCTCTATGCTCCAGTTCTCTTCTTGTGAAATAGTTTTGACAATAGCCTGTTTCCTTGTGAAGCTATTGCAGCTCTGTGAATGAAATGTCCCCTTTTTACATATTCTTCAGGTGATATACTTGGGGCTGGGAGGAATTTGGAATGAGACAGTAAAATGACATCATGGGTTTAGATTGAAAACACAGACATGTTTGGGTCCGGCACTCCAAAACCGTGTGTTTTCAGCTAAACCTCCCGTCTTTAGGGGATGTGCCAGGACAGGGGAGGGAGGAGGCAGCTGCTGGGGCCCTCCCCGCAGCTGTGGCAGTGGGAGCCCTCTTGTGGCACACACTGGATGTGCCTGAGATGTTGGGAATGTTGGCTTGGATGTCGAGTCGGGATGGAGAATCCGGTTAACAAAAGAAGTAACCTAGAGAGAGAGAGAGAGATGTGGGTCCAGGAATAACGAGTTCAGAGGTGAGTTCTATTTCAAAAGCCCTCGTTCAATGCAAGGCAATAACAGCAGCTGATGTTGCTTCATCTGGGGGAAGTCACATACTATTGAAGAACTGCCAATGCACCTCTAAGCTAGGTGGAAGAAGAGCATTGTAGAGTACCCTGAGCTTGAAGGGACCGACACAGGTCAACCCAAAAGTTAAACCATGTATCTAAGAGCACTGTACAAGTTCTGCTTGAAAACTAACAGGCTTGGGGCCATGAGCACTTCCTGGGAGTCTTGCTTCAGAGTTTAACCACCCTCTCAGTGAAGAGCTTTTTCATCATAGCCAATATGAACTTCCCCTGACACAGCTTTAAACCATTCCCTTGCATTGTATCGCCAGAGGTAAAGATCAGCATCTCCAGCTCCACCCTCCCCCATGATGAAGTTGCGGACAGCAGTAAGGTCACTCCTCAGTCTGCTCTTCTCCAGGCTGAACAAACCAAGTATCCTCAGCTGCTCCTCATAAATCACATCCTCTAGTCCTTTTGCCATCTTTGTGTCCCTCCTTTGGGCATATTCTAATAATTGCATATCCTTTTTATCTTGTAGAGCCCAAAACTGCACACAGCAGGTGAAGCCACACCAAGGCTGAGTATAATGGGATAATAATGTCTTTGGCTGGTTAGTTATACTGTGCTTAATGCACCCCAGGCTGTGGTTGGCCATTTTTGCTGCCAAGGCACATTGTTGACTCGTATTGAGCTTCCCATCAAGCAAACCCCACTAGTCCCTTTCTGCAGGGCTGCACTCCGGCCTCTTGTCTCTCAATCTATCTATACATCCAGGTTACACAGCCCCACGTGCAGAATCTGGCACTTGTTCTTGTTAAATTCCCCACAACTGGTGATTACCCAGAGCTCTAATGTGTCGAGGCCTCTCTGTAAAGGCCTCTCTAGCCTTGAGGGGAGCAGTTGTTCTTCCTAATTTATTATTGTTGTCAAGCTCACTTAGTGTGTGTTCAACTCCTGTGTTCAGGTTATTGATAAAAGCACGGAAGAGCTTTGGAGAAGGACACTATTGACTGGCCACCAGCCAGATGTTGCACCATTTACTGCAGCTCTTTGAACCTGACCTTCAGCTGGTTGTGTTGTGTACATGTCTAACTGTATGTTCAATATCTT